AGTCAGTTAGATCATCCCTCTGCGTCCATGGCAAGCTTGATTTATAGCAGCAATGCCAACTTGAGGTTTTGTTCAAATGGAGGGAGTTGGAGGTTAATACATCCTGAAGTGTTTCCATGGTTCTTTTTGTCAACAACAGCGGTTTCACAAGGAGATTTAAGCATCCCCTGCAGTGCTGGAAACCCAAGCAGAGTTGACTGGGGCTAGCACGTAAGACGCAGACAGTGAAACGGAGCATCCTTAGCTTCATTGTCTGAATGAGAGCTGGCCGAGTAACTCCCAAGGAATCGTCTGCGTTCTGGTTCGCTGCCCGTCTGCGAGCGGATCTGTCTTCCTTGCATGTATTTGTTGTTGGGAAATGACTCGCTGTCTCATTCCTCCGAATGCTGCTGGGGGCACAGCCTGTTTCCACGTGGCGTGTTGCATGGGTTTGGAATCGGAGCTGTTTTGATCAGCCACCTGGCTCAAATGGTCCATTTCTGTGCCCGCAATGGGAGAGGGTGGCTCTCGGGACCGGTGGAAAGGCTCCTCCTTAAGATGAGCCAACCTGGGGCCCGCCGCCCTTCCCACCCGTTCTCCAGTCCAGAAATAGACCCCTGCACCACTGAAGCACTGAGTTAGGGAAGTGAGAACAACTTGACATGCTTCCAGGCACTTCTCCATGTATTACGAAAGTGTTTACAACTCCCGGGGAGCTCAGGAGGACAGCCGGTGTCAGAGCCACCTGGGCCCCATTTCATCACTTTTGTTTTGATGTCAGGGTCAGGTTTTATGTCTTGTAACGTTAACCACTTGGTGACTGGCAGAGCAAAGCAATGGGGCCATCGCTGGCAGCAGGGCTCTGTGGTTGTCCAAGTTTCTCCAGCAGCATCAGAAGGGCACGTTCGTCCAGCGTACTCGCCTCTGGGGTCAACAGGATTGTGAGGGTTTGCATTGGCCGTTTTGTGCTTTGCATTTGCTGGGGATATATCACTGGAGAGGTGTAGTCTGAGCACAACCTGAAACCAGGACCTCCAGAGCCTTTACCCTGGCTCTGATGCAACCGAGGGGGTTGCAGCCCCTCGGACCCAGCTCCCTGGCCCTCAGTGACAGGACTGCTCCATCCCTTTCCTTCTACGGATGTTGTAGTTTAGCCAACTTTGTTCCTTCATCTGACAAAAGTAAGCCCAACCCCACTGCAGGTGATAGGTCAGGTCCATATATTTGCGCACCCCCCCAGACATGTTTCTCATTGCCTCTGTGGAGGTCTGGCTGTCAGGACTGCTGTTACCAAAGGATGTGTGAGCTGGCAGGTTGCTTCTTGCATCTACTGCATCCAGCTCCGTGCAGTTAGTAGGGTAGGATTGACGGGTGGGATCTTGCAGAGCATGTGAGATTCAGCACAAGCTGCTGGGCAGAGTGGATGTGGAGCGCTCTTATTAGAGTCGGTGCAAATGCCCTTCCATGGGGCATGACCACGTAAGGTACTCTGTGCTTTTGGAAATCCCACCCTCTACTTCATGTGCTGTGCTGTACCATGGGGCAGGCACCAGCTGCAGCAAAGTGTAGGCTGTTCCTATTGGAGCCCACAAAAGCGGGTGCGCTGAGGGTAGAAGTGGGCCCAGGAGATGTGAACAGATCCGTCTCAGCTGCCTCCCTCTTACATCAGGCTCAATGCGTGCGCCAGGGCGGGGGCCTTGGTTTCTAGCCCAAGAGGCAATTGTTCAAACCACGCACCAAACTCTCCCCTCGGACGCACAGCACAATGAGGCTTCCACCTCGCCGAGGCCCCCAGGCGCTCGCACAATGTGCTGTGAAATCAAAACAATGGCGCGAGGAAGGAAGGCTCCCCTGAGCTCCGCGGGAGCCAGGCATGCCCATCTGAGCAGAGAGTTTGGCTGCGAGCGTTGGCTCCTCTGACTCATTTCCTTTGCTCCTGCAGGGAGTATCACTTCTGGGAAGCCAGTGTCCCAGGACAGAAAGATCACCCCCACGCCAAGAGAAATGTCCAGCTCCAAGTCCCCTCACGCCACCGTCTCGGACCACCACCACCCCATGTCGCCGTACGAACACTTGCTGCGGGGAGTGAGCGGCGTCGACCTGTACCGGGGACACATCCCGTTGGCCTTCGACCCTGCCGCGATCCCCAGGGGAATCCAACTGGAAGCAGGTACTCGTTTCTGGGGGCGCGAGCTGCCTCGAGCAGCCCCCGGCTGGCTGTGGAAGCACGCAGTCACTCTGCTGTCCGCTCTCCTCTGTAAATCCAGCCTATGCCCACCCCAGAGACGGAGGGCGGGGGCTGCTCTGAATTTACAGCAGGGTAAGAGACTTGAAGCCTGGCCCAGTCTGTTGTGAGCTACACAGTGAGATGAAGCCAAACCTCCTATCCTCTGGCTTTCAGCAGTCCCATTTCACAACTTTTGAAACTCTCCTGCCTTGCTCCGTGATTAGCCTCTGCTGCCTACAGCCATCTCTCATGTGAGCTCTCATCCAACACAGCTCCCCCCTCATCTTGGCTGAGTACCTCCCCATCTTTTCAGCAGGCACAGTGCCAGTGCAGACTTTCCCATTTTAAGTCCCTGAGGCAGCTAAAAAGCCCTCCTGGCTTCCTTCACCCTTGGGCCCTCAGTAGCTGATGTCCGAGGTCTGGTAGCCAACTAGGGCAGGGTGAGCAGGGTACTGGCTCACTGGTGTTGCACAGCCGTCCCCCAGCATGAAGGGCAGATGGATAGAGCCCGCATGCTTGCTGAATCAGGCCTCTACCAGTCCCTGAATTAGCCCACCATGTAAAACCAGTATTTTCATGTTTTTTGTGAGGTTTTGAGCCTGCTTCTCAGCCCATGTTTCAGGGGAGACTGACCTGTTTAAATCTTTCCTTTCAGCTGCTGCTTACTACTTGCCCAGGCATCTTGCTCCGAGCCCAACATACTCCCACCTCTACCCTCCATACCTCATCCGAGGGTACCCAGACACAGCCGCCATGGAGAACAGGCAGACCATCATCAATGACTACATTACCTCCCAGCAGATGCACCACAACGCTGCCGCCGCCTCAGCCATGGTGCAGCGGGCAGACATGCTGCGCGGACTCTCCCCTCGCGAGCCTTCTCTGGCTCTCAACTATGCAGCAGGTCCTCGAAGTATGAAGCTGTCCGGGGTTCCTGGGTGGCTGTTTTTCCTTCTCGAAGGATGTAGCTCAGTCAGGTCTGAAGGTGCTGAGGGCAACGCAGCCCACGGTCTGCCTCGGGGGAAGGTCCCTTGTGGAGGAGTCGTTGCTGGTTCTGTGGTAGAAATCAAGCTGGTGGCATAGCCCTGAAGTGCAGAAATACTTTGGTTTCAGATGGTTCCGGAGTCCTTGAATGCTCCGCATGGAGACAAGTTATTTTCTTGCTGTTCTTGACAGCAGGTTAGGTTTCTTGAGGCTGCTTTAGAGGTTAGGCTGCTTGAGGCTGCTTTAGAGGTAGCTGTATGACCTTGGGTTGTGATCTGATGAGCCGCTGCCTGCTGAAGAAGGCTAGGCTTGGTCAGAACTTGGATGAGAGGCTGTCCCCATCCATCCACCCGCTTCTGTAGGGAGAGGTGAGGGTGCTTTCTGCTCCCATCTGATCCTGATGGCAATGCCGCAGTCCAGCTCTAGAGGGCAGCCGGTGACTGCTGCTGAAGCCGTCTTTCCGAGCCGCCCGAACTCCCAGCCTTTGGGGTCATCCAGGATCCTGCAGCATTGTTTTGCAGGCCTGGTCCCCTTCTGGCTAGACTCCGTCTCCCTACAGTGCCCTGCAGACTTGGGTGCATTCCTGATTCTCACTTCCTGTCCTAAACTATTTAGTTGCTGCTGGCTGTGAATCAGCTGCCGCACTCTGTCCCACCTCCCACCCCCAAAAAGGGGCTGATTATGAGTGGCAAGTGAAATGATTCCTGTATCTGCAGTGTAAGTCGCTTTGGGATTCCTTGGGCTGAACTCTTCTTAGACCTTTTTGCAGCTAACTGCTGGCAAGGCTTTTCTTTCTGATGGTCACACATGGGTGTACCCTCACAGATCCACAGAAGTCTAGGGCTGGAAGGGACCTCGTGAGATCATCATTTCTGCTCTGCCCTGCTTTTCTTCTCCCATCACCCATAGCTGGGCAGGCACAGGATGGGTGGCAGGTATCTTAGAAGCTAATAGGACCATGCCATTTAGAGCTGAACAAGGGAGCAACAGAGCATGAACTTGAACCAGATAGGTGCTGTTGCAAGCCGGGACGTTGATAGAATGGAGGACCAGATCTGAATCTGCTCCCTGGAAACGAGGCGAGGAAAGCTTTCAGGGAAGGCAGAAGGATTAATTAGTGCGGGGCCAGATTGTGGAGCTGCTGCTCCCTGTGGGAAGCACTTTCAAAAGCAGCCCCGTTGACTTCGGTGATGCTGCTGGCACGGGAAAGGATCCCACAATCTGGCCCTTACGTGCCTGGAGAGCTCTTTCAAGAGTAAAAGGAAAAAAAAAATGTTCTCTGAGTGCTGCGTGGGGGTTGATAAGAGAAGCGCGTGCTGTCCGTGCATCCCTGTGTGCACGTATTTTGTTGCACTGTTAGTGAGTGGAGCCTAAATTAGTAGCAGCCATGGTCCCACTCGGTGTCACTGCGTGTCTGCGTCAGGTAGCCAGGCCTGCCGTTTGGTGGGAGTGGGAGCTGAAGGGTTGAGCTTTACAATGTTCAGACCCAAGAGAGGCTGTTCCATTAACCAGGGGCATCGCGCCGGGTTCCACTGTCCACGCTGGGTGAAGGGCATTGAGTGAAGCACAGGTGGCATTTACACCTGAGACGCAGGATTTCTGTGGTGGCCAGGTGACATGCTGGGACCCTGTATGGGGCTTTCGCCCTGGCTGTCTTCTGGTTCCACAGTTATCAACACAGCTCAGAAAATAGCTTTTCAGACTGCCTGCTGTCTCAGTCCTGTCCCCTTAGCAGCCACCATAGGGAGGCATGTGCTGTAGGTCTCTCCCCTCAGACCTTGCTGCCATGGCTGAACCCTGTGACCCCTGTCATCATCCTGATGTGCCTTTCCATTCTCTCTGCAGGAATAATCGACCTGTCTCAAGTGCCACACCTGCCTGTCCTCGTACCACCCACACCTGGCACCTCTGCCCCCCCCATGGACCGAATCACCTACATGCACAGCACCCCACAAGCTTTCAGCAACCGACACAGCAGCTCCCCGCTCTCCCCAGGTAAAGGCCACAATGTAGGCATTGCCAACTAGAAATGCCCTTGGTTGTTTGCCCAGGGTCCATATCAGCAGACTGAAAACCCATCTGAAGCCTCTGGGCTTCTGGTTGTGAACCTGCAGCGGTGATTCTGCAGCCTCTCTTTGTAGTTCAGACTGTTGTCTCTACCTGAGAGCACCTTCCTTACACAAATGAAGCCTCGTGGTGGTAAGGGGTGCTGCCCCTCAAACTATCTGTTGGCATTCATGGCCGAAAGCTGCTGTTTAAGTTACTCCTGCTTATATTTTTCTATTATTTCCTGTTGCCAGCAGTAACAGCCCCAGTGAGAGAGAGGTCTTTGGATAGGTATCGCCTGTTCCTGTGTTGTAATGCAGTGTATCCAACTGGTCTGTCGTTACACACTTAGCTCTAGAACAGAAGAAAAGGTGTATCAATAGGGCCTAAGTAGCAGCTGTCCTTAATTATTTCAGCTATAGAATGAACTAAAAATACTAGCATCTTCGACTCTTGCTGTGTTATAGTACTCTATTGTGATTGGTCTTAATGACCCTTGAAGTCCCTTTCAACCCTAGGACTAGTTAAATAACTAAGAAGTGTTATTAATAGCAGCTTTTACTGACACTTCTTGTCAGTTTGCGTCATTGTTCATTATTTTCAGTGAAACGTGCTAGAACACAGCGATGAACAGTTTACTTTATCGAACCCGACGTTTTCCAAACCAAACCGTTCATAGTTTTTTATTGGTTTTTTGGTTTTCCCATTCCAGGGCACTAGAAGTGGGCTGTGCCGATGATATGACTTGGGTTTCTTTGAATTTCAGGAGGCCCCACCCACCTGGCCAAGCAGACGGGAGTGTCAGCTTCCGAGCGGGAGCGGGATCGAGAGCGGGAGCGGGAACGCGAGAGGGAGCGGGAGAAATCCATGCTCACAGCCACCACAGTGGAGCACGCCCCCATCTGGAGGCCAGGTAGGCATGGAAGAGCCCCAGGCACAGACCTCACCCACTAGGGACCTGAGCTGAAGACTTCTCCGAGTGCACCTGGCTTAGGTCTCTGCTCTGCCCGGTCTTCCCCCGGCCCCTTGGCTTTCCACATCTGCTTCCTGATCAGATTCTCCGCTGCGTTTCTACAGGTACTGAGCAGAGCAGCAGCCGTTCATCCGCGCACTCTCACAGCCACCAGCACTCTCCCGTCTCGCCCCGCACCCACGACACTGTCCAGCAGCGCCCCAGCGTGCTCCACAACACAGGCATGAAGATCCTGTCCTCGGACAGCCCCACCCCCTCGGTCCTGCGGTACGTATGGGGTTTGCTGCTTGCTTCCCTCTTCTGGGCATGGAGGGTTTGGGGCTGTTAAACCTCTTAATCCTGCTGTGCTAGACTCAGAGGGAGGGTTTTTTCCCCTTGATTTCAGTGAGGGCAGGACTAGGCCCTAGCCGGAGATAGTATGTTGGGTCCAACTTTGAAACCAGGTTCTTTTCCTCTCCCAATGTCTTTTGCCAGAAGGTGCTGCCAAGAATTAAACAAATGGGTATAACCAGAGCCCAGCTCTGTTCTTCTTCAGCCAGGGGCTGAACGAGCAGTTTGCTGTGTAAAGGTTGTTGTTTTTTCTTTCCAGCTGATAGTCTTGCGCAGTGATTATCCCGGAGACAGTCATGGCAGAAATGTGCATTTAGCTGGTAGAAGGCAAGGCAGAGATGTACCTTATGGACTAGCTGAATCAGAAGTGTATATGCTCTTGTGAGCACAAGCTTACTTCATCTGATGTGCAGTTGGTGCCATCGATGGATTTTTACTCCAAGCTGGTCCTTAGCGGGAAGCCAAAGGCAGCCCTCCTGATGGACTCTGGTATTATGCCCCATTGTGCCTGTGCCTTCCTTATGGGCAGCACAGCCTGAGGTCGCAAGTACAAATGGGGAATGAGCTGCACTGGTTAGATCGATGGAGGGCCGGATTCCCGTCTTTCACAGTGCCGGTGCAGACCAGGAATCACTTGCAGCAGGGACCTGAGCTAGGCCCGCTCGCTCACAACCTTGCCTGCATCTGCTTCTGATAGCAGGATCTATCTGGGGAGTTGAGGGCTGGGTTAGACTCACAGCTGCTGCTTCTCTTTGCCCCGTGGTTCTATTATCCATTGATTTTTTTTTTTTTTTTAAATGTTCTTAATCTGCCTTCCAGATCCTCCTCCACCACTACCACGTCACCAATACGCTCTGCAGGCTTCCCCCCAGCATCTGCCTTGCGCTCGCCCATGGACGGCTACGCAGCCATGATGGACCCATCCACCTTGCAAAAAGAGTCGTCAAGGGCCCGAGAAGCCAAGGTAGAACGCCCTCAGACTGACAACAACTTATACACCTCAAAACTGCCCAGTGGGACGCACCTAGAACAGTCATCTTCACCTATTAAAGCCACGGAGTCTAGGCCCTTACCAGTCTCTGGGCCAGGTTCTTCTCAGCCGTATAGCAGAGGACAGGGGAAAAACCAGCAGCACCATCCACCCCTGGAACAGCAGCATGCAGCTTCGGTCAATGAGCAGCACAGTAGAGAAAAGAGTCAAAGTAAACCCTTTTCAATGCAGGAACAGGAGCTCCGAGCACTCGGTAAGACCACCATGACAGCGGCCAACTTCATAGATGTGATTATCATGCGTCAAATTTCTTGCGATAAGGGGAAGCGAGAAAGAGGCTCGCTAAATAACGACTCCACTAGTGATGGTAAGAAATTGGAGGGGGTGGTGAGAGTCCGAGTTCGTGGCCTAAAAACAATATATATATACATATATATATAGCTTTTTTTTTTTTTAATTGCACGTTTTGGTGATTGGCTTCTTCCACTTCCTCATGCATTTATTTACCTTTTAAAATCATTTATGTTGTTCCAGCCTTCTTTTAATTGTATTAATTCTTTTTAAGGGTCTTTTACCCCTTCCCCTTCTCTCTTTTAATTTTCCCATTGCCAATTCTTTGCTGACCCTCTTCAATTCATTTATTAAAGGGGTTGGGGGTGGCCATGATTTCACAAACCTTAGAATTGCTGGTATGGGGTATAGACAGATGTAACAATTGCGTTGATCAAAGCTGTTGTGAAGCAGCTTGTTACATCTGCATAATTCTGTAGTCATATGAGTATAACAAAACTGCTCCAACGCCAATCCAGTTTCAGTCAGGATCCAGAAGTTTTAGCTGCACTTACATTATTACAAGATCACGCAGAGGTAATGTCGGGTTGTAACTGCTGGTGAGAGCATCTCAGGGGCAGCCTCCCCTCTCCCCTTTAAAGCAGTGAAAAAATATGTTTGTACCCCCCGTCTGTGCTAAAAAATTATGAGTCGTGATTCAAACAGCACTGGGGCAGGGAAGTGCAGGCCCTACAGGATGGTTGTCGGCTGCACAAAGACGTCTTAGACTTGGATGGTACCTTTGAATTTAATGAATCCCAAAGTGCTTTGCAAAGGAATTTCTCAGTTCGACTCTAATATAATATATCAGCATGAAGATACCATGGTGATGGGCAGTGTTGGGGGCAGAGGTGGCTTAGCTTACAAATGCGATGCAGTTATAGCGGAGGTGAAACACAGCAGCCCAGCACAGCAGCATAGGACATGATGTGCAGTAGCATTTGTCCAGGAGGGGCTGTACCCAGGTGTGTGTCTGTCTCCACGCCCACAGTTGTCATTTTGCCCCCAAAGCATCCCACTCTGGTGTGCTCGCAACCAGTGCCTGTGTGTGCTAGTCAGCATTATCTCTGCTCACCTCGTATGTGTTGCCATTGGGCACCTGTGGCAAACCCCCATGCATGTAACCTAAATGCAGAGCAGGCCATGGGTTGAGGAGACCTTTTCTGATCTCTGAATCTCCCCTTCCATACCCTTGCCTCATCCAGTGATCCCAGTCATTGCCATTGGGCCCTTACAGCCCACATCACGGCCAAGAATGCTCCACCACCAGAAGGATGGAGGGACCCTGACCTAACCGTGCTGCCATGCAGCGCTGCTTTAAAACAGGTTCCCTTAGACTGGCTGCGTTCTGCTTCTACATTTGCTTGCCTAGGCTAAGAAGCAGGAGGACTGTGTTCCTCTAACTGAAGAGCCAAAATTAGGAGGAGGCTCTGTGTTCCCTTGTAAAGTCTTTTCTCTCAGTCCCTTCCCAGCCAAGCTTTTTGAACCATTCCTGGTCTTTCTCATGTTTTCCTCTTCCCCACATCCAGGCAAGGATAAATACAAGTGTCTTCTTCAAGGTTTTCCAGTTGTAGGAGATACAGAATTACCCCCTTTCCAGAAACCAGAGGAAAGCAAATGCGTACTTCAGTTCAGGAATTTTAAACCAGTTTTAGGAGCGTTTAGGCCTGGCTCTCACTTTTTGAGCATGCGCTGTTGCCAGGGCTGGCAGTGCTGGCTTTCCTTTGTGATGCACTTTGGAGACCTACCTGTGGAAACAGCACTTTGGCTTTGTGTAAAAGCAGCGTGCTTCCCACGCTGTGCACAGCTTTGGTTGATTTTATTGAACCTCACTCATGGGTAAGATACAAATCCATGCTGATCAGATTTGCTTCCTGGTTCCCATGCTGTAGTGATGAACTGTTTGGTGGGTTTCCAGCTCTATAGGAAAATGTTATATTATTTTTTCAGTATTTGTGGAACCCATGTTTGTGAAGAGCAGCGAATTTGGCTCTGTGCACATTCCCCTCCGTCTCTCCTGTCCCCAGGGGTTGTCCCCTGAGTTTCCCAGCGATGCGAGTGGAAAGCGATGCTCCTTCGTGCATGCTCACAAAATGCACTGTCCCCTCCAATACTGAGGAGACCTGTAGAAGCGACTGCTGGGCCAGTGCTTGTCCTGAGAGGTTGCTTAATGATTTCCTTCCCCTCTTTGCTGGATAGGAGGATCCTGTTTTTGCGGCAGCCACTGCAGGTAGTGTGAGCTGGAATATAGGCAGCTTGCAGAATAAAGGCCCTTGTTCCCTTCCCCCAGGCTTCCACGGAGGCTACAGCCCCGATGGCATTGAAGCAGTGAGCCCCGTGAGCTCACCCAGCATCTCCCACGAGAAAGGGGCAAAGTTGCTGCAGGACGTGGAGAAAGGGCACGGAGAGCACGACATGAGGCAGAAGCAGCAAGGTGAGGGCCATGGCTGCTGTTACTGCAGGGGGAATATGATAGGACCTGGAGCTCGCCGTGCCCCAGCCCATAGCCTAGTTGAAGGCTGCTAGCCTCAAGAGTGAGGGTGGGTCCTTTTCCTGGATTAGGAGGGCCCGTGTATTGCAGTCCTAAGCTGTGGGCTACCTGTATTCCCTGCACTGATGCAGGCTGATGGAAGCTGGCAGCAGCGGACAGTCCCACCAAGCAGAAGCTTGCATGAATAAAGTCTGTGAGGGGCCTCTCCAAGTGCGCACACCTTGCAAAGACTCACTGCTGTCCTGGGGAAGGTGTCACCACGGATTTGTGCAGCATCCAGCACAGCAAGTCCTCATAAGGCCTCTAGGTGATGCTCGCAGACAGAGAAGGGAGCCAGGCCAGTGCCTGTCCAGGTGGCTGCTGTGTGTTAATGGGGAGGAAATGCAAGAGAAAGCCAGTAGCAGGCAGGGTGGGGTATCAGCACGGCCTGCTGACCAGGGCTGCAGAAAGGGCTCTGTTTCCCTTCATGGCCGAGGAGTGCAGACAGGTTGAGGGAGGAGTGGGAGATGGGAAGACATGAGCAGGAGGAGAAGCATCAGGCCTCCTCAGGCTTGTTAGTCTGCTTGCACCTGCTTGTGTGTATTTTGCTGGAGCTCGCACTGTGGCAGGAAAATAACCCCAGCTGGACCTGAGCTCGCCCACTGTCCTCCCCGTAGCCTTACCAGAAATGCTGAGCAGCCTCCAACTCTGAGCAGTGGCTCTGCAAAGGGGGGAGGTCTCACTTAGGTGCCAACAAGTGGCTTCTGCTTTTCAGAGTCTTTTCCAAACCCCACCCATTGCCTCCCAGCTTCTCAGTGGTCCATGCACGATGAGTGAATATCAGAAAGCCCATCTTGCAGAAGAGAAAACCAAGGGAGTATGAGTGGCCTGGTCAGGGTCACTCAGCAAGTCACAGGCGCAGTTGGGGACTGTATGCCAGGGCTCGTGACTCCCAGCTCCTACACCCGAGCGCTGTCGTGTCCCTGCAGGCTGCGCTGTTGCTGCAGGTTAACCCTTTCGTAAGGAATCAGTGGTCTCATGTCAAGTGATTACATGGAGAAAATGGAAAGCCATGCTGGGGCAGTGGGAGTGCATGGCCCCGTGTTGTCACGGCTGCTTCTTCTCTTCCCAGCTGCTCTGAAGCCCTCGATGACTGAAGGAGCTCACATGCAGCACCTGCGCCAGCTGCCCGAAGGTCAGCCATCCCAGGGGCAGCCGCCACCCTCGGCCCAGAACCTCAAGGGGCATCAGCGGGTCGTCACCCTGGCTCAGCACATCAATGTAATTAGCCTCTTTCTCCTCCTCCCCTCCTGGGGCAGCATGGGTGGGGGGTGGTTTGTCCTCACAGCTGACGTAAAGCATCTTGGAAGTTCCTGCAACAGATGGGCCAGAGGGGAGAGTCGGAAGTCTTGGTGCCTCGGACCTGAGGGTAGGGAGAGCTGGTGCCATGCCTTGCTCTGCAGCAGTCCATGGAGGACCCTGGAGGTCCCTGCCCACCCTGTCACTTCATGCACCAAGAGAGGAGAAACAAGGCACGGGCAATCCCAGAAGGGCCCCGTCCACCCAACCCCATTTCTCCCACTCAGACAGGCTATTGTGAGGGACCAGAAACTGAGTTGCTGACTTGAGGGCTTTCTTCCTCTAGGAGGTTATCACCCAAGACTACACGCGCCATCACCCTCAGCAGATCAGCCCCCACATCCAGCCCCCTGTCTACTCCTTCCCTGGAGCCACATGCCCCGTGCTGGACCTGCGTCGCACCCCCAGTGAGGCCTATCTCCCGCTGCCCCAAGAGCACACGCCAGCCTCCAAAATCACCCTGCAGAATGAAGGGGGCAAAAGGTGAGGTTGCAGGGTGTGGGGGGGCAGTTTCCAGGCCCTGTCTGTGAGTTGGGGCTCATGCCTGCTCACATAGGCTGTGCCCAGGGGAACATGGTGCAGGTGTTACCCTGGGAGCCAACACAGACAGCAGTCCTGGTGTGGCCTGGGCAAGCTGTCTTCACAAAAGCTTCCCAGGTCAATGGGAATCATAGGCTCCTGCCCTGGGGTTCTCACTGATTTGCAAGGAAACTGCAGCTGGGCACTGTCTGTGCTGAGATTTTTAGTCTGTTCTTAAAAAGCACCTTCTTTTACCAGCCTGGACAAAGCCCTCCAAGAAAAATGCTGGCCTCCAGGCTCAGCCCCAATGCTTTCCTGAGCTTGGCTCTTTTTCCCATGGGACCTGCCTTGGCCTCACCTAGTTCCTTCTGTGCCAGAGACGTACTTCTGGGCTCAGGGCAGGGTGGCACCACAGCCACCAGGAGCCCTGGGGGTCCCTCTGGGCTCCAACCTCCTGATGTGAGGGACACTGTCAGAAGCAGGCAGTGCTACCCACTCCTTTGGGAATGGCATCCTTTCACCTTGCCCCACAAGGAAGCTTTCCGTGTTATCGGATCCTCTTAATCCCTCGTGGCCCCTTCACCCTGCCCGGCCAAGCGGGGATTTCAGAGCGTTGCCATGGGCTGACAGCATCTCCTTGCCCCATCCTCAGGTCTCCCGAGCAGAGCAAAGCATCTGCAGTGGGGGCACCAGACAACGGCATCGAGCCTGTGTCGCCACCAGACGGCATGGGAGAGCCAGAGCACATGAAGAGTGCTTCATACCCGCTCTTGTACCGGGAAGGAGAGCCAATGGAGCAAAGGTAACTGGCAACAGTGGGGGAAGGCAGTGGGGGACTTTGCTATCTACCCTGATGCTACAAAAGCAGTGCAGTGACTTCCTCCTTTCCCAGAAGTTTGCATTCCCACTGTCCCTGGGAAAGCCTGCCAGGGCCTGAGCCTGAGCCTGTTGTACCATAACAACCGTACCAAACTGTTGTCAGGTTTGTTATCTCCTGCTAGAGTATGTGGAGGCATGATTGAGGGGTAGAAGCCAACTTTCTCCATTTTGTTCCAGTAGAGACCAGTCAGTCCCTCACGTTAGTTCAGCTGCCCCCTGCCCTGGCAAGCACCAACCTGCCTTGAGTCCCTCCTGTGAGGCCATGTCATCTGTCTGCTTAAAAACTGGGTTGAGCAAATAGGACCAACTTCCATATTAGAGAATTTCAGGGCAGAGAAGTGAATCTGGTTGGGCTCTTTAATTCTAGGGTAGAAATAACAAGGTCAGAAGAACTTCTCTTCCAGCCACGAGTTTTGTGTCCCAGCCAGTCTGTGGTCAGGTTTAAGAGGGAGGAATCGGCCATTAATCAGTATTTAGGAGCATTTCATTGGGCTCACGTATTGTACCTGAAGCACAGTGCTGGTGAGAACAGCCAGACTCAGTGGTGTAAGCCAGGGATCCCGGGTCCCGGGATGGCGTAGGGGCGGGTTCTGGGTGCAGTGCCGTTACCAGGATGAGGTTCTGTAGACAGGAAGATGCGAGTCCCACACCCTGCACCTGTTTCTGATGGCTGCCTGCTTTGCAGAATGGGCTCCAAATCCCCAGGAAACAACACCCAGCCCCCTGCCTTCTTCAGCAAACTGACCGAGAGCAACTCTGCCATGGTGAAGTCCAAAAAGCAGGAGATCATCAAGAAGCTCAGCACGACCAACAAGAGTGAGACGGAGTACAGTAAGGCGTCCAGACTATGACTTGATTGTGGCGGGGGTGAGAGCAGGATGGAAAGGCCCTGAGGAAACAAAAAAGGCAATTTCCCCTGCAGGTCCAGGGTTGCAAATTTTCCATCCGACCCTCTCAGCCTATTGGGTTTTGTTCGGTTTCAAAATCCAAGTGTATGAGCCCTTTCTACACCTCTGCTGTGTGTTAGCATTGCCTCATGCACCGCAGTGAAGGGCCTGTGCAGTGGCCATGTGCATTTGGGGCAAGGGGGCAGGAGATGCATTCATCCAGGGTCTTTCCACTGCTTACAGCCATGGAGGGGAGAGAGTGCAGCAGGGAGACCATGTGCAGAAGAGATCACAAAGCAAATGTTTCAGGGCCCTCACATAGGGGTCACACCCTTTATTAGGGCTGATATTCAGGTCAGGTGAACTGACCTGAATATCAGGGTTCACCCCCAGAACCCACGGAGATTTCATCAAGAGAGCTAGGTTCCCACGAAACTC